AAATGGTGGTGTGGGAGGCTTGGGGCCTGTCTATGGCATTTTGTAGTGGCAGGCTGTAGTGCTTTTTCAAAAAAGCACCAAAGTTTTCATAAACATTCATAAAATTGAAACATCCAAATAATAGATCCAAAGGTTTCAATCAGTTTTCATTTTGTTCTCTGGCCACTGACAGGTGTGGCAATGTGGTTCTGTACCACCTGCCCGGCAAAGTGACAAAGTTGGCGGTCGGCCTTGTGCTTTCGCTCTGGCGGGGAGTGAAGCAACCGAAGCTTACTTCGCCAGATGTCCCGCTCAAAAATTGCTTTGCTGCGCGTGTGGTGAAGCTTGCAAAGAAGGATCCTTACCCCGAATCATTCAACTTTTTTGGACGTTTCATGATGTGTCGTTCTTTCTACGTTGATATTCTTGGGGGATCTTAGTTTTTTGTAGTGATTTGATTTTTTTGCCAAGGACGATATCTGGGTATGTGATGCTTTGAGCCGTGCTGATGTTGTTCCAGTGGAGTCAATCGTAACTCTGCTGAACTGCGAGCGTTCCAGTGTCACGCTCGAATCTCCCTGGGAACTATCTTTGTCAAAGGAGTCTGAGATGGCAATCGAGCGAGCTGAGTCCTTGGAAACCTGGGAGGTTCCTGCTGTGGTCATCTCTTCAGAGAAAAAGCTTGATGCAGGATGCGCCGCTGGAGCAAAAGGCAAGAAAAACGGAAAGAAGAAGGTTGGACACTTTGCCAAGTCACTTGCCAAGAAAAAGAAAACCGTTGATCTGGCAAAGAAGACAGCTGCGGGCCTGGCAGCAGACCCTGAAGCCAGTGCCCATCTGGCTTTGGTCAAAGCCGCAGATTCCGGAAAAGACGCGATTCCAGAGAACTTCCGCAAGAATCAACTAGGCCGCAAATTGATTCGCCAACAGATGGAAGCGCTTATCCTTCTGGACCTCACACTTTGGCCGCAGAATCCAGTCTGGGATGAATCTACAGGAGAATTGAAGATGAAGAATTTGCCAGAAGGGAAAGGCATCACCGCCAAAGAGATCATCAATCGCAGTCCAGCTTTCATGGAGACTTTCTTTTGGAAGACCAAGTCGCCGATGGAGTATGGCAAATCTGTCTACTCGCTCTTCCAAAAGGCAAGGAAGGACTTGCAGAATGCCAAGTCCCGCCAGCCGTTCCTAAGACTCCTGGCAGACATTTGCAAAGCAACTCTGCCTTCTTTGTAGAGTCTGTTCGCTCGCTGATTCAATAAGAATCGCATCAGAAGCCATGGGGTTGGCTTTGTGGGGAGTACAGCCATTTGACAGGCGTCCAAAAGCGCGTCAAAAAAGACAGTCTTGAATGTCTTGACATGTCTTGATTGTTCTTGGTTTTTCTTGATAATTTTCATGCGCATTTATCTTTGCTACAGAATGAGTAGCCCATTCCCGGGCGCGTACCATTTTGTAGCAATTTGTGACCTTGGCCCCCTTCATTTTGTATAATTGGCCTATCCCCTCCCTACAAAATGAGTCCAAATTTTTTGGAGTCATTTTGTAGGGATGGGACGTTGGTCGCTGTCATTTTGTAGTGATTTTCACTACCAAATAGGGACCCCGACCCCTCACCCCAAATATCAAGGGGGATGGTCGGGTCATCTTGCGGCTACGTGTGCCATATCTGAGACTATGTTGGGTCCTCTTGAGGGCCTCTGTCAGATCATCTTGGAGCACATGTTCCGCCTTTGCTCTTAGCGCGCGCCCGACACCCACGAAATGTCGATTAAGCCTGTCCGCGCGGCACGCATAACCGACACCACGGGCGCCCTTTTAGGCACGCCGAAGGCCACAAAACACTGTAAAAACCGATGTTTTTTCAACATCCTGCGCAAGATACATATAAATCTGTCGACCAGATTTGGGCGGGGGTCGACACGGGGTCGGGCGGAGGTATCCCCGCGGTCGAACAAAAGGGTCGGCGGCAGGGGCGGCGAGCGTATATAACCTTCGGTTACCAACCGAAGGCCTCCGGCAAGGGAACGTGCGCGTGGCCGGCGCCCGGATTTATGAGGCTTACGCCTGACAGCCGGGCGCCGGCCAAGCAGGGTGAGGGTTTGTGTTCAACGGTTTCGCTCTTGGCCCTAGGTTGGGCCAAGTTGAGCCCATGTGGTCTATGTTAGGCACATCTTGGGCCCAAGTTGAGCCTATGTTGGGCCTAGGTCGGCCTATGTTAGGCCTATGTTGGCCTAGGTTGGGCCTATGTTGGGCCTATGTTGGCGTATGTTGGCCCCATGTTGGCATATGTCGGCCCTATGTTGAGCCATCTTGGAGGCTATGTTGGGCATATGTTGGCTATCTTGGGCCTATGTTGGGGAAATGTTAGGCAACTTCTGTGCCCAACACCCACGAAATGTCGATTAAGCCTGTCCGCGCGGCACGCATAACCGACACCACCAGTGCCCTGTTAGACGGAAGTCATGTCCGCCGAAGGCCACGAAACACTGTAAAAAACGATGTTTTCCACATCATGCGCAATCATGCTGGTAGATAAAATATAAATAACATAAAAATCCGTCAAAAATCTGTCGACACGCTTCGGGCGGGGGTATACACGCGGTCCAACAAAAGGGTCGGCGGCAGGGGCGGCGAGCGTATATAACCTTCGGTTACCACCGAAGGCCTCCGGCAAGGACACGGGCCCGTGGCCGGCGCCCGGATTGTAAGGGCTCCGCCCTGGTGCCGCCGACCCCTTTTTTGTGAGACAAGGCAGCATGGCGAGGAAGGCAACAACCGAAAGTGGACATAGTTCTGTTGTGGACACCAATGGTGGTGGTCGTGGACCTAAGACAGAACAACTGCTTATATAAAGGAGCGACCAAATGGCCTCAGGGGACTGTGGGTCCCAGAGGCTCCCTCCCAAGGCTCCCGGAAGCGTTTGAAGCTAAAATGCTTGATGTCGCCTGGCGCGTTGGCTTCGGAATCCGAAAGAAAAGAGGTGCAGGCCTAGGTGGCAGGTTCCAGAGGCTCGGTTCTAAGGCTGCAGTGCACGGGCTGCACGTTCCAGAGGCTCCCTCCCCACGCTCCCGCCTGACGCAGGCAATGCTGCGGTGCAGGAGTAGGCCAAAGGCGCCGGGAAGCTTTTGAAGGCGCCTGGACGTTGCCTTCGGGACCCTAAAGACTAGACGACGAGTGGCCCGAAAGCATTTTTCATCATGTAGGAAATCAGAGTGCGAGTTATCCGGTAAGTGTGTAGTGAGAAGTGTTAAGTCGAGTGAGTTGAGGTAGTGTGTGGGTTTCTGTGCGTGTGTCTATGTCCGTGTGGAAACGAGTCTGCGTATGTGTGTGTTCGTGGAAGTTGAGGAGTTTGAGGCGTTTGAAGGGCAGTTTCGGGCCACTAGAAAAGGGATTTGGCGCGCCAGAGCCCCGAGCCCACAGCCTGCGCAACTCCGCCCACAGTCTCGCAGAGCCCAGAGCCCACAGTCTGGCAAGTGCGAGGTTTTGGAGCGTCTGATTCTCGCAGAGCCCAGAGCCCACAGTCTAGCAAGTGCGAGGTTTTGGAGCGTCTGAAGCGTCCATGGAGCGTCTGAAGCGTCCAGAATCCAGACGTATGGCACAACCATGGCAAGTGTCGAAGCGTTTGAGGGGTTTGAGGGGTTTGAGGCGTTT